CTGAGCCTCATGCCCCGATCGATGGTGACTTTGCCGCTTTCAGCCGGAAGGCCTCCGCCGCCTCGAAGTAGAGCGGCTGCATCCGGGAACTCCAAAGCCAAACGACCGAGATTCAAAGCAGCTGCGCCCTGGTTGGTGACGCTCAAGAACGTGAATGTTCCTCCGGCTGCTGCCTCCACCGTTGCAGCGTGCCGAGCCGCTGTGTTGGCATCTGTTGGCAGTGTGCGACCTTGGAAGAACTCGAGCAAGGCTTGGCGGGAGGGCTGTCGAACCCGGGCCTGCTCCAAAAAATCCAGCATGGCAGGATCTACCGACCGAGCCGCTTCATGATGCTGCAACTTGACGAAGAGAATGCGATTCTCGTCTTTTTCTCGGTCAAGATCATCTTGAAGTTCCGGACCGCCATGGAGAGGCTGCAGTTGCTGAAAGTCCCCCACGAACACAACGAACGGGGAAGGACTCAGCTCGCCTAGACCGGTTTTAAGCTTGCGCCAGACGGAAGCTTCGATTTGGCTGACTTCGTCGATGACGATCAAGTCGTAGTGCCGCAACCGCCCTGGAGGAACATAGGCAGCATCTGCTTCCCGAGTTATGCGGAACGCTGAATGCACCGTTTCCATTGTAAGATTTTGAAGGTTTGGTAATCGTAGCCGGTACATGGAAACGAGGAGGCCGATCGGGCCAGCAATCAGCACGCGGCAGCCGTCTTCGAGGGCTTGGCGAACAGCCGCGATGATGACTTCTGTCTTTCCGGTTCCCGGACCACCCGCGACTTGGAGAATGCGATGTGCTTTTTCCATGGTTGCAGCATCACTGATGGTTGTGCCCTCGTGCACGAGCTGGAGCACTTGCTGCTGCTCTCTGGACCATATTCTGCGAGGAGGTGCAGCAACCGACCTTGCTTGCCATAGATTGGCATCTTCTCTTCCATCGCGAACGGCACACAGCAAGAGAGCACAGGCTTGGACACGAGCTTTGAAGGTCGCAATGCGATCTTGTGTCAATCCTCTCAAGATGAGCTCGGTCTCGATGCGCGCAAGTAGCTCACCAACATTGGGATTGAAAACCAAAGGATCTTTGCGATAGAGTTGAAACTCATCCAAACAAAGGACAGCCTTAAGATGTTGACAACCTGCGGGTGCCGTGAAAGATGCTCGGCGGGTTTTCTCTGCGGTCAGACTCGGTGGATAGTGCTGCTGGTCCTTCGTGCAGTCGGGCATGAGCCGGAACTCAAGCACGTCGGGCAGGAAAGTGGCTGCCCATGCGCCCACGAAGATGTCGAGCAACTCAAACGGGAATGTCATGGCCACTCCGCAGTCAAAGTTCTTTGTGGGTCCTGCCACGTTTCTTCTGGCAACCTGCTTCTTGTCTGCATCGACGACACGAAACCGCCTCAACCATTGCATGTAAGAAAGGCCTTGTGCACATCCAAGAAGTTCTGGAGATAGTGTGAGACAATGTTGATACACCAGATATTGCTCTCGCGAAGAATTTTTTGCTTCGCTTCCAGGGATGGGAGCAAAGAGAGCGTGCCCGCTAAACGAATGACGCACCATAGGCAGTCCAGCGAACTCCATGAGCACTTCCTGTTCCATGGGAGAACGTTTGCAGAGAAGCCGGTATGTTTGTCTCCATTTGCTCGTTTCGTTCGGCGAGCCATCCGTCTGCGCTTGCCGCTTGGAGAAGGACAGTGCATCCGAGGCTTTGGAGACATAGCCGGCCACGTATTGCAGAAGGTTGTGACTTCCATCGCCGCATTGCACATCCACTCGACTGCGAAAGATGTCCTCCAGCAAGCGAACAAAGGCGGAACCGTGGAGAGTGTCGCTTCGACCGGCGACATCACTGGCGTTCCAGCCAGGAAGCAAGTCAGCCCACAAAACCGCGTGCAAATGCAGCGTTCCTCGAGACTGGAATTCGAAGCGGAACGACCACTGACGAACTCTGGCAATACCGATCTTCGCAAGGCTTGCTCCGTTCTTGAGGATGTGGTGCTCCAGCAGAACCTGCACGGTGTGGTACAGATGCAACGTGATGTTTTGCTGCTGGTCTGTCAGGGAGCCCTCGTGAAACATCCCGTTGTGCAGCAGATAGCGCCACTCAGCTGGAGCTATGGTGAAGAAGACCGAGGGTAGAGCGTCCGATAAGCAACCTGTCTTTTCATGCTCCTGCCTGCAAATGTCTTCCATTTTGCGCAGTTGTTGTTGCCAGTAGATTTCGAACCCGTCCATGTCGGACGCAATCTGCTCCGGCGCCACCTTCTGTTTCTCGGCGATGGCCTGCACTGAGCTAATGGTTTTTGCGAGGCAAACATCATAGAGCAGGCACTGTAGAGCGAAATCGTTGCAGTAGTCAATACACCGACTCTCGAGCTTTCTCATGAAGCCTGCGCGAATGCTCGGCTTGTTGTGAGAATTTGTCCAGCCCAACGGAGTCAATCTCTCTTGATAGTCCGTGTCGGCTAGACTCGCCAACGGATAAAGCCAAGGTCTGGCGGCCACTTCGATGCCTGGGGAGCGCAAGAGCAGTTCGGCTGTTTGCAACTCGCGAATGGACAACTCGCCGGTTGCTTGGAACAACTCCGCGTGGTGATCCACCCACGCTCGATAAGTGTCGTTGTTCTGCAGGAGCCATGTGAAAGCCTTGGCAGCAAGATCATTTCGAGAAAGCTCGCGAAGAGGACGGGGTTGCCACCGACATCTGGTAAGAGTCTTCTTTTGCTTGCTTGTTATCTCAGCTTTGCCACCACGGCGACTTTGCCAATCCACATGAATGGTAAGCACCGCTAGCTGCTGAAGTTCTTTCTCGGAAAGAACGAGTGTCAAAGGCAGGTTGCCCGATGCAATCGCCGCAGACCAGCAGTGCCATGTGCTGCTCTGTGGTGTTGTGTAAACCATCAAGCGCCCGTCGAGGACATTGGCCGGAGCTGGGGCAAGAAGGTCTTCTGCTGGAACATCACACGATGGACGACATGGCTCCGCCTGCGTCAACCTCTCCAACGAGAAACGTTGTGTCTTAACTCTTGCACGTTTGCGGCCACATGAGGGGCAGAAGGTCCAAGAACCTTCGAGTAGCCACAGCCCCGAAGCATCCAGGTCCCTTGTGCTAGTGTGTCGCATCTGCGGCACCTTCTGCAGAAGACTGAAGTTGGTGGCATATTCTTCTTTCCAGGTCTCGTGAGAGCACGGCGTTGCCGCCTTTTCTCCAGGGGCGTTCTGTGTGTCGTTGCTTTCGGCTGGCAAAGAAAAGTCGCCAAAGCGAAGCCATCGCCGAAGTGTGCTCGGAGGTACAGGCCGTTCTCCACCAGCGGATCCACTTTCCAAGGCTGCCAGGACCATGGCAGGCGATCCGGCCGTGATGCCCTGCACGACTTTGACTTGCTGGTCTCCGGGCAAGTTGCCTAGACTGCTTCTCCAGGATGGCTTTCGACTGAAGGTTGTTGAGGCAGGAACTTGACGAGCGGCTGCCTTGTGTGCCAGTTCCGGTCGCCGAAACCAACGCATCAAGGTGTTTCGATGAAGACGATACTGCGAGCTGGGGTCTGACAAAGTGAACTTCGAGATCTGCTTTCTGATGGAGTCCAGAGATGCCTGGAAGGTGTCGCTGTCTTGCAAAGCCTTCAATATGATGTTCCGCTCCTGTTCGGTGTAGTTCAAGAGCGCATTTGACTTTTTGCGACTTTTCGGAAGCTGCTTCGTAGATGCTGCTGGCGCAGTGTTGTCTTCGAACTCGCCGAGCGGACTGGCGCCCACGGCGGCGTCACTGTTGGATACACTTTCTGGTTTCACTGAGGTCACAAGGACATCACTGTTGTCTGAATCGTCCGAGGGATCCAGCTGGATGGCAGGTCGTTTGACGGCAGGAGCTCGAGCAACATCAGGGTGATCGTCAGCACGAGTGTAGCAGACAATGTATGCTTTCTCGGGCGTGGGGCCTGCCTTGCCAGGAATTGCTGCAACTTCGGAGATGTTAGCGTCATCCAACCGCTGAAATCGGTTTCCATGTGGCCGATATGCAACATAGTGGCCACTAGCCGCGGTTTCACCGATGTGACAAACCACTGCTCGAAGACGATAGCATGCGCCATGGGCCACTTGAAGCTCTTCATCAGCGAAAACATTGTGATGGAGGACACCGTGCTCCGCATCCCAGCGTTTCAAAACGATGATGAGGTTTTCTGGCCATTGAGGAACAGTTGTTAGGCGTAGAGGCGGCTGTCGATCTGTGCCTGCTCGAGTGCAAGCGGGATTTGTGCATTGCCACTCCAGAATGTCCTCTTGCTGCGTCGCTTGGTTCAGGTACTTCTCGATGGCAGACTGCACCGATCGGAGTGGCCCAACGTTGTCGACCAGAGAAACTTGCAAGGTTAAGAATTGCTCGGCCGGTAGTGCACGGCGATAGTTGCACGTGGTGCAGGCAAGGCAGCCGCATTCTGTTCCTTGAAGTTCGCGGTGGATGCTTGGGCAGTCCCACAGCAACTCGACCAAGAATTCTGCACAATCCTCTTGACGGTGGCGATAGTACAAATCCAAGACTGGTTGCGGCAAAATTGCTGAAGTCGATGCTCTAGCTCTCGAACGAGTTGCCAACAGGGCTCGTTCTGTCGCCGTGGTTGGCTGCAAAGCATCAAAGCCCGGCAATGCGAACATCGCCTGGAGACCAGCATTGACGAAGCAGGAGTTGCCTGCATTTGCGAACGCCATGACTGGAGAGCGAGTGAAAGAGAGCGAGTCGGGCAGCGCAGAATAGAGCCAAAGACTACACTCAACTATGTGCTAGCACGGTAAGGACTGGGTCTCTTCATTCTGCAATCGCAATTTCGGTATTGATGCTCTTTTCGGACCACAAGCAACTTGAAAAGCCGAGCAAGAAGTCGCTTCAGCGCCTACTGTCTGGTGGACGACTCAACTCGGAGAACCTCACCTCTCTGATTTGCGATCAAGGAAAGCTCTTTACAACCTTGCTGCAGAAGTCGTGCTACTCAGCTGACAGGATGTCTTTTACGCATCAAAAAGTCCGGAAGGATCGGCGGAGGCTGCTTTGCTGCCCTGCGCTTGCTCCGGCTTTTGCATGCGGGCCTTCACTGCGTTGATGAAATCCTGTTCGGACATGGGTTTGCAGTGCACGGCAGCGCGAGCAACAAGTTCGGCTGTGTGTCCTGTGTAATACGTGTTGTTGCCGGAGAGCACAAACAGCAGGCCACGAAACGCACTCTTGTCCTTCGCCAACCAAGCGCGGAACTTCGCTGCCGCCTCGAGCGGGTCCATAGGCTCGGCCGGAGTTTCGATGTTGGCGGTGCTGGTCCATTTGGCTTTCTTGGCTTGACGAAAGGATCCTGTGTCCGTGTGAGTCGAGGAACCTTTCCCGAAATTGAGGGCATGCAGCGTAGGCTCCAACTCCTGTATCTCTTCAAGCACCTTCTCATAGATCTTGGGGACAATGAGATGCTTCATATTCTCGCTTTTGAAGTTTTTGATCGCCATCAACAATGCTGCTGCTGTCTGGCTCAAGCCGGCGCCGACATTCCAAGCGTCATCATCTGGGTTGGCAGCCAGATGAGAGTGATACGTGGTGCTCTTATTTCCCTTGGCCGTGCCCTTCCAGATCTGCTCGAGGTTGAGACTGTCCAGCGAGCTTTCACCATAAGGTTCCAGCATCTGTGCTGCAACGGCGTCGTAGGAGTACAACTTGGTTCTGCGCTCCTTTTTCTCCTCCTTCTTGTCCTCGTCCGGGCGATCGGAAGCGTCGAAGAGGTTGCTTGCCATGATAGAAGTTGCGGATGTTAGGCGTTGCGGAGACGCAGCGGAAGGCTGGGAGACAGCTTGAAACAAAGCTATTAGCACACATAGATGCCGGAAATTGCAGTACGACTAGGTCTCTTCCTTCTGGCAACGCAAATCGCAATGTGATCCCGTTTTTGTCACCACAAGCAACTTGAAAAGCCGAGCAAGAAGTCGCTTCAGCGCCTACCGTCTGGTGGACGACTAAACTCGGAGAACCTCACCTCTCGGAGTTGCGATCAAGGAAAGCTCTTTACAACCTTGTTGCAGAAGTCAGGCTACTCAGCTGACAAGCCTCTCTACGCATCAAAAAGCCCGGAAGGATCGGCGGAGGCTGCTTTGCTGCCCTCGGCTTGCTCAGGCTTTTGCATGCGGGCCTTCACTGCGTTGATGAAATCCTGTTCGGACATGGGTTTGCAGTGTACGGCAGCGCGAGCGACGAGTTCGGCCGTGTGTCCTGTGTAATACGTGTTGTTGCCCGAGAGCACAAACAGCAGGCCACGAAACGCACTCTTGTCCTTGGCCAACCAAGCGCGGAACTTCACCGCGGCCTCGAGCGGGTCCATGGGCTCGGCTGGAGTTTCGATGTTGGCGGTGCTTGTCCATTTGGCTTTCTTGGCTTGACGAAAGGATCCTGTGTCCGTGTGAGTCGAGGATCCTTTCCCGAAATTGAGGGCATGCAGCGTAGGCTCCAACTCCTTGATCTCTTCAAGCACCTTCTCATAGATCTTGGGGACAATGAGTTGCTTCATATTCTCGCTTTTGAAGTTTTTGATCGCCATCAACAATGCTGCTGCTGTCTGGCTCAAGCCGGCGCCGACATGCCAGGCGTCACCATCTGGGTTGGCAGCCAGATGAGAGTGATACGTGGTGCTCTTATTTCCCTTGGCCGTGCCCTTCCAGATCTGCTCGAGATTGAGACTGTCCAGCGAGCTTTCACCATAAGGTTCCAGCATCTGTGCTGCAACGGCGTCGTAGGAGTACAACTTGGTTCTGCGCTCCTTTTTCTCCTCCTTCTTGTCCTCGTCCAGGCGATCGGAAACGTCGAAGAGGTTGCTTGCCATGGTAGAAGTTGGGGTTGTCAGGCGTTGCGGAGACGCAGCGGCAGGCTAGGAGACAGCTTGAAACACAGCTACTTGCACACATAGATGTCGACGGACTGCGCAAAATTATACAAGAATGACTTGCATCTGGGTAACATTGTCAAGAACATGCCTGCAAGCTGCTTGGAACAAAGCTGAGGCTGCTTTTCAGCTTGTCGAGTGCAAAGACATTTGCAGGAAAAGACAGAAAGAACAGCGGCTTCCGCAGTTGCCTGAACAGGTTCTGTTGAATGACAGCAAGAAGCTTTGCGTGCGTCCGCTAAGTTGGCAACCTAGTCCAAGCGAGCTGCAGGAAGCACTTACCCAACGGGCACCGACTTACGTAGCCCACGATGTTGCACACATGTTAATCTTACGGAACAGTCTAAAAGAAACTCACTCCTCAGATACAGCAGCCACAAGGAAGTCTGTCGATCACCTCCTCAGTGCTTGCCTTTCTTGTAGGACCCTCTGGGCGCTCGCTTCGGGCGAGCGGGATCACGACGACGGTGAGCTCGAGCGACTCGACTTTCGAAGTCCTTGGCAACGGAATTCTGGAAATCTTTCTCAATGTACTCCAAGGCTTTTTGCAAAGCCGCCGGTTCGAGAGCAGCCAGGAGCTTTGTCATCTTCTCCGGTGCTTGCTCGATCATGCCCTTCAAAGTCTTGTTGCAGCAGATGTCGCAGCGGTCCGAGGTCGTCGCCAAGGCCGCACCATCAACGCCAAAGATGCATCCGTGGCCTTCTCGACCCGAGCAAGGCTTTGGTTCAATTGCCTCAGTTGCTTCCTTGGTTCGTCGAGGTCGACTGCCTCGTCGCGGTCGAGCTGGATCTTTGCGCTGACGAGCTCTCTGGACGCGAGCTTGATAATCGGCAGCAACGTCCGAGCCCAGAGCTTCTTGCACGTATTGGAAAGCTTGATTGGCACTGCCTACGTCCAAGCCGAGGAGCAAATGTGTAAGCCGCATGGACAAACACTTGTGAAGTTGAACAATCATGTCCTTGTCGCACAGATCGCAGTGACCACTGGGAGCGGCGCCAGCTGCTGCTGACAACTGTCCAAAGACACAAGGCTGCCCGGGCCGCCCTCTGCAAGTGCCGTGGCCTTGGTGAGCTGCCCAAAGCTCCTTGAATGCAAAGCCTCTGCCACTTGGTTCAAGCTTCTTGCTCTCAGCCGGGAGCTCTCTTTTCACGCTCTTCGCCGAGAGCTCTTTTTTCACGCTCTCCGCCTTGACTCTCTTCTTAGATGAAGATGTTGTGCTCGGGGGTAGCTCTGTCATGAGTTCGTTCCGATGATGCTCATGCTTCGGCACTTTGGCGATGTTCCCTTTCACTGTGCCGGTGGTGCCGCTTTCGTCGCACAGGTCAATGGTGCCCGACTTGAGTTTTTGGGCAAAGGGCATGATTGCAAGCAACAGGCTGACAAAGACAGAACTCTACGAACTGAACCAAAGAAGCTACTTGACACAGAGAGTGTAAGCAGCAGAGCTACCTTGCAATTCGGCATGTCTATTGACGTAGTGCATTTGCAGGTGCATGCTGGCGGCAAAAACCCCGCCTTGCAACCACAGGCAACAGGACCCAGACACCGGCTCGGCCTCTCAAGAATGTGCAAGGTGCAGCTGCATGCAGAAACATGCTCGTTTCAGCCAAGCTCGCGCTTCCCTCGTGCAAAGGGCATGATTGCAAACAACAGGCTGACAAAGACAGAACTCTACGACCTGAACCAAAGAAGCTAGTTGACACAGAGAGTGTAAGCAGCAGAGCTACCTTGCAATTCGGCATGTCTATTCATGTAGCGCATTTGCAGGTGCTTGCTGGCGGCCAAAACCCCGCCTTGCAACCATAGGCAGCAGGACCCAGACACTGGCTCGCCCTCTCAAGACTGTGCATGTTGCAGCTGCTTGCAGAAACATGCTCGTTTCAGTTCTTCCCTTGTGCTCGCATGGCGCTCATATGTGCCGACTATAATGTAGTTTTCAGAGCCAAGGTACGCCGCTCACAGGGGACTGAGCTGCAGTCAGATGCAAACAAACCTGTCCATGTCCACAGTGTATCCGCATCATGCGTGTATATTGCTTCCATTGCTGTTGCTAAACCTTAAAATTTCTATGGTGTCAACACCGTTGCTGTCTTGTTTTAAGTAAAGCAAGTAAGACGGTGAAGTTGCTACTGTCACTAAACCCTAAAATTCGTATGGTTGCAACACCGTTGCTTGCTTGTCTTAAGCAAAGCAAGTGAAAGTTTGAAGCTGCTGTTGTCGCTAAACCCTAAAATTCGTATGGTTGCAACACCGTTGCTTGCTTGTTTGAAGTAAGGCAACGACAAGCTTGAAGCTGCTGCTGTCGCTAAACCTTAAAATGCCAATGGTGTGGATACCGTTGCTTGCTTGTTTTATGTAAAGCAAGTGAAAGATTGAAGCTGCTGCTGTCGCTAACCCTTAAAATGCTTATGGTGTCGAGACCGTTGCGTGCTTGTTTTCAGTCAAGCAAGTGAAAGATTGAAGCTGCTGCTGTCGCTAAACCTTAAAATTTCTATGGTGTCGACACCGTCGCTTGCTTGTTTGAAGTATGGCAAGGAAAAGCTTGAAGCTGCTGCCGTCGCTAAACCTTAAAATTCCTATGGTGTCAACACCGTTGCTTGCTTGTTTTAGGTAAAGCAAGTAAAAGATTGAAGCTGCTGCTGTCGCTAACCTTTAAAATGCTTATGGTGTCGAGACCGTTGCGTGCTTGTTTTCAGTCAAGCAAGTGAAAGATTGAAGCTGCTGCTGTCGCTAAACCTTAAAATTTCTATGGTGTCGACACCGTTGCTTGCTTGTTTGAAGTATGGCAAGAAAAAGCTTGAAGCTGCTGCTGTCGCTAAACCTTAAAATTCCTATGGTGTCAACACCGTTGCTTGCTTGTTTTAGGTAAAGCAAGTAAAAGATTGAAGCTGCTGCTATGAGCGAGGATAGAAAAAATGCAGGACAAGGACCCATGCTTGCAGTGAAAAAGTCACTGGCCAGTGGCTGAACGGTCATCGCAAAGAAGCTTGACAGCTCCAGTTGCTGTCGCACAGCGATGGCGTGACCGCAGGATCAGCTGCTTGAAGATCCACGGTTGAAGGTGTGCTTGCCAGTGTGCCACGGCCAAGAGATGTGGTTCGAATGTTCTTGATCAGTTGCTCAATGCGTTGCCTTGACCAGGCAATGCACTGTCGTAAAGCGATGGCGTCACCGCAGCCTCAGCTGCTGTGGGTAGTGCTGTGGGTTGCTGTCGTGCTTGTTTTTATAAGACCTTTCATCATCTTAACGGTAGCCTACGGTCTACCGGTGTCCTCTAACGCGCGCGCCAGTGCGCGCGCGCGCGTTGTGGGAGCCCTGAGGCGACCCAGGGCCGGGCCTTGCTCTTCTCAGCTCGGCCGCTGTCTCCGGCTTCAAGTCCCCTAGGGGTAGCCCCGTTACGACCCCGCCCTAGGCTCTCTTTAAAGAGTCGCCACGAGGACTGCACTCTAAAAGGCTTTTTTTTTGATTTTTACATGTAAATAACACAGTTCCAGCGAAGCTTGCTTTCGAACAGCATTGGAAGCTCCAGCAAACTAAGCTCTTTGAAGCTGTCTCCAAGCTTCCTCTATATGGTTTTGCACGCTCTAAACCACTAACTCCTTCTTGAAGCTTTGAAAGCTTGTTAACTTGCTGAAATAGCTTAAAAATCAGCGAAAGCCTGGAAAAACAAAGAAAACTCCAGACTACGCTTACGTTTAAATGATATCTCTTGCATTTTCAGACAGGGTTTGATGCCCTCTATACCACTGAACTAGTGTTGAAACTTTCGAACGCTTCTAACTTCAAAAAATAGCAACTCTCGTTTGGAAAGATCGCGCTCGAAACGAAAAGTGTAAAGTTTCAGCATCTGGGAAGTACTTAAAGCTGATATGAAGGCATTTTCGAGCTGGATTTGATCCCGGTCAATATTTAACTTGGATTCCCGATGTCTAAATCCATGCTAACTGCAAATAATACTGACTAAACTTTGAAAATTTCGGTTTTCAGAACGTTTTTTAGTTTTTTCGAATGTGCGCAGCCTTTTAAAAGCTATCTCTGGCATTTTTGGACAGAGCTTGAACCTATGAAACTTTTGGAATACCTCCCGCAGCTCGCAACGAATGTTCGCATAACTTCCGAGTCAAGTCGGCTAGATCCGGATCCCGGTTCCCGGAAAAAAAAAATCCAAAACCCTACAAGTTAAGGGTTTGAAAATTTTTTTTTGGATAACTTCGTTTTTTTATTAAAACGAACGCAGATTCAGATAGAGGGGATCAAACCATATATACTTGTATGGTCGCCAGGTCTTTAAACGGAAGAAAAAAAAATTCGACCTCCTCAGATCCACGAAATTAGCTATTTTCAGTGGTTTGCTACACGAAATCGATTTAAAACGCGGCTATTTGGCTTAGTTAGATCATTTCATGTAGGGGGATATGGATAACAGCTGAAACGGAGCAAGTCGTCAAAATCCGACTTCCCTGATTTGAGCTTTTTTCCAGGTTTCAGCCTCATTTGCCTTGCTAGTAAGTTTAGAAAACTTCAAGAAGGAGTTAGTGGTTTAGAGCGTGCAAAACCATATAGAGAAAGCTTAGAGACAGCTCCCAAGAGCTTACTTTGCTAAGGCTTCCAATGGTGTCCGAAAGCGAACTTCGCTGGAACTGTGTTATTTACATGTACAAATCAAAAAAAAGCGTTTTGGAGTGCCGTCCTCGTGGCGACTTTTAAAGGGAGCCTAGGGCGGGGACGTAACGTGGCTACCCCTAGCGGACCTGAAGCCGGAGAGCCCCAGAGCCGAGAGGCGCTTCGCTCCCGAGAGTCTGGGTCTCCAACAACGCGCGCGCGCGCGCACTGGCGCGCGCGTTAGAGGACACCGGCAGACCGTAGGCTACCGTTAAGATGATGAAAGGTCTTATAAGAAACAAGCACTACCCACAGCAGCTGAGGCTGCGGTCACGCCATCGCTTTACGACAGCTAACAGGGCTGTTACATCAAGTTTCTTTGCGATGACCGTTCAGCCACTGGCCAGTGACCTTGCCGTCCGACAGCAGTAATCATAGGTCTTTTCCCTTCATTTTATGTGTCCTCGTTCACATAGCAGAAGCCACCGCAAAAGATTTTTTAAATTGATTTACTTAAAACAAGCAAGCAACGGTGTTGACACCATAGGAATTTTAAGGTTTAGCAACAGCAGGAATTTCGATCTTTTACTTGCTTTACTTAAAACAAGCAAGCAACGGTGTTGATGCCACAGGAATTTTAAGGTTTAGCGGCAGTAGCCACCCAATTTTTTTACTTGCTTTACTTAAAACAAGCAGGCAACGGTGTTGACACCATAAGAATTTTAAGGTTTAGCGACGGTAGCAACTTTAATTTTTTACTTGCTGTACTTAAAACAAGCAGGCAACGGTGTTGACATCATAGGAATTTTAGGGTTTAACGACAGCAACCCACCTACAGCGTTTCATTTAAGGCTTTTCTTGGCAGACAAAAGCAAAACGCACGTATGTGACACCGATGTGCCTTTTTGGATTGGCGCGCACCGGCGCATGCGTTCCAGGCCACCGGTAGACAGTGGGTTGGTAAAGGGTTTCAGCTTTTCGGTCATCGCAAAGAAACTTGACAGCCGTGGTTGCTATCCTCAAGCGATGGCGTGACCGCAGCTTCAACCGTTATGGGCAATGCTTTTTGTTTTGAAAGTGTGGATGCACGAAAGTGGACACAGTGCGATGTGGAAATACTGAAAGACATGAAATTAAATGTGATCTCGCTCACAGCAGCAACTTCAATCTTTTACTTGCTTTACTTAAAGCAAGCAACCAACGGTGTTCACACCATAAGAATTTTAGGGTTTAGCGACAGTGCCAACTTCAATCTTTTACTTGCTTCACTTAAAACAAGCAAGCAACGGTATTGACACCATGGGAATTTTAGGGTTTAGCGACCGTGGTAAGTTCAATCTTTGACGTGCTTTACTAAGAACAGGCAAGCAACGGCGATGGTACCATATAAAATTTAGGGTTTAGCGACAGCACCAGGTTCAATCTTTTAGTTGCTGTACGTAAAACAGACAAGCAACGGAATTATACGAATTTTAGTATTTAGCGACATTAGCAATCTCAACATTATACTTGTTCTACTTAAAACAAGCAAGCAACGGTGTCGGCGCCATACGAATTTCAAGGTTTAACGACAGCAGCAACTGCTGTCTTTCACTTGCTTTATTTAAAACAAGCAAGCAACGGTGTTGACACCAAGCGACATTTAGGGTTTAGCGTCTTTCAGTTGCTGTATTTAAAACAGACAAGCAACGGAATTATACGAATTTTAGTATTTAGCGACATTAGCAATCTCAAAATTATACTTGTTCTACTTAAAAC